AGAAAAGATTAAAAACCCACAGTTTTGCAGTCAGTTGAGTTGCATCAGTTTTTTTTTATAATCGTAATAAAAGAAATCATACTGAAAACACATTCTTACAGTTCATTTCCCTCGGATAGAAGCACTCTGGGTTGTCTCCACCATTACGGTACTTAAAATCAGTGCAGTTGATGATTTTCCAGTATACAGCATACCCTGATCCAGCTTGTTGTTTATTAAAGCCTTTGGCCATTTCCAGCTCCTTGGCGCAAACTTTAGAGACATATTCGCAGGTTTCTTTGCAAAGTGGTATCCCCATCACCTTATTAGAAGTCACATCGCATTTTGGGAAATTCCAAGGACAGTACGCTATGTAGAACAGTCTCAAGCAAGGCTTGCTGACTTTAAGGTTATAAGCTTCTAACATCTTTCGACCATTTTCAAACAGAGTTAGACTATGCTCGCTACTTCTCTGTTGCCGAGGATTGGCAAAAAGAGAGGTATTAGCCAAGATATGTTTACAGTGCCCATCGGGGTATAAATATCGAAAACATATGTCACTGGAATTGATGAATGGTTGAGCAGGGATGCAGCTGTAAAAAAGTTTAAAAAGAATCACTTACAAAACAATTAATCGTGTCTTTCCAATTCCACTACAATCTACATGTATGACATTTATGTAATATCTAAAATTTGAGCGGGAAACCTTTATGAGCATTTAAAACTGCGAGCTGCAAGCGAGCAGTTTTAAAGCCCATAAAGGTCGGAAGCGAATATTTTATCTATAGTTTAAAACACGAGAGAGAGTGTTTTAAACGGCTTCAAAAACTCCAACACTAATTTGAAACTCAAATCCGTTAAAATTCTTGAAAAATTGYCGTAAAAATAAGTTTTGAGATCAATGGGGCAAACTGATCATGCGCACTCTTGTCATCCCACATTGAATATGCATAAAGTAACATAGAAGTCCTAATGGCTGTTTTACTGCTATCGGTTCACATCCTGCATTGGTCAATGATCAGGTATCAAACCTGAGAACTTTGCTAGGGTCATGGACCTTTATATCTGATAAAGGTCACCCTTATTAGTATTCTTTATTCATTAGATTCATTAATAATTCATAAGGTAAACACAATGGAAAATCATTGCCGTGACCGCATCTTTATATGAGCAAGAGATTTGTCCTGATTTGCATACGACTTTAACTTCGATTTTCTCTTACAAATGATATTTTATCCTGAAGTTTTTTTCGAAATATGCCTTTCCTTATGTTGAAATTTGATAAGCAACATAAAATATTCGCATCCGACTTTTATGGGCTATAAAACTGCTCGCTTGCAGCTCGCAGCTCGAATACTAATAATGGTGACCTTTATCAGAAATAAAGGTCCATGACCCTAGCAAAGGTCTCAGGTTTGAAACCTGATCATTGGCCAATGCAGGATGTCAAACGATTGCAGTAAACAGCCAAGAGTGTTTCTATTTTTTTGTGTGTGTATTCAATGTGCGATGACAAGAGTGCTTTGTAACTGAGTGATTCGCGCATGAACAGTTTACCCTATTTATCTCAGAACTTATTTGTACGGCAATTTCTCCAGTAATTTTAACGGATTTGAGTTTCAAATTAGTGTTAGAGTTTTTGAAGCCGTTAAAAACACTCGAGATCGTGTTTTAGCAGGTATAAAGATTTTCGCCTTCGGCTCAAATCTTTATACCTGATAAAACACTTTTTCTCGTGTTTTAAACTATACCTAAAGTCATGTGCAAATCAGGACAAATCTCATGCTCATATAAAGATGCGGCCACGGCAATGATTTTCCATTGTCATGTTTACCATATGAATTATTAATGAATTTGATAAACCCTATATAAAGCACATATGTAGTGTTGAATAATAATCAGATGTTTTATAAAAGAGCTCGTGATCTACCTATGTACATTGCACTGAGTAACACGCTAGAACACTCTTCATACGTAGACAGTGGTAAAGTTAAACCTATTGAATACTTTTTTCTTGAGTTAGTCACACCCCCGTTTGTAGCGTTCTGGATATAATGCAAATTTTTTATTTATGTGCTTTTTGCCTGAATTTTCACCTAAAATATTATGTAAGTTGGTTTTTGTTTCAGTTTGAAAAGCTTTAGATTTCCAATGCCCCTMAAAGTATCCAGATACTTGTGGACTGGTTTATTTCAATAGATTGATTTACCTTGCCTTGGTTGTTTTTACAAATGGATCTGCATCTAAAACAAGAGTAAAATGCCACGCTGTTAAATGTTAAATCTAAGGAGATAGATGAGAATACCACTCATGCAAAACTTTTGGCTCCCGTATGAATAGTWAGTAGCCCGGGTACGGTCAAGACGTACATTTGAAAAGTTCGTTTAATGACTATGCGCAAGTTAACCGTACGCAATCGTTTGTTTGCTATTGGTAAGGAGTGGTCTACCTGATGCCTTGAAAAAGAAGCAGCCAATTAATGCGAAGCGAGCATGCTCAACTTGTTAACATAAATCCGAGCATAAAAAATTGTCTTTAAAAAAACTACCGTGAGCAGGGTAAAACCCGTCTTTGCGATCATCCTCCAATGCCATTGCAGTGAAAACAGACTGACAAAAACATACTAACRCAACCTTTTCACTGTTAACTTGAGGTCTCTTGAGGCTTGTTGTTGGTGCAAGATAGCTAGAAATGCGTTTTTTGAGTTTTGACCTGTTTTCAGCACAAATATACTGCTTATGAAATGATAACAATATTTTGCAAATAATGTATAAAAAACTATGAAATTTCTTTTGAGTTCGTTTACTGATATGAAGTGTAATCTATATTAAACGAGCCTTTGTGCTCTTTTCTTAGTGGTAGAATATTTCTCAAAGTGCAGCTGTAGGTTGCATGATTATACTTTTTCGTACCATTACACAATGGGGTCAAAAAAGCGGCTAGTTACTTTCACGGTATTGAAAATATCGAAATATATCACCACTCTCCTACGAGTAGCTAACATGCAAATGTATTTTCCGCTTCCTGTCTCTTTGGTACTTATCTGCATGAGTCGAATAAAAAATCTCAAATATGCCGGAATAGCTCAGTTGGGAGAGCGTCAGACTGAAGATCTGAAGGTCCCTGGTTCAATCCCGGGTTCCGGCAATATTTATATATTTYTGGCCTTTATTTTCAAGTATGACTATTCATGTGCTGCATAATAACGCTTCCTGATTAAAACAGAAATAATTTATGATCCACTCCAGAATTTTGAGTTACCAATTATGAAAGGTGTAAAATGCACCTACCTGTACTTGCCCACAGATAAAATGAGAAAGCCACGACCATAAAGCCCTTCATATGTCTGAAAGAAAAAATTTAATATAAGAACTTTCTTTCTCAGCTWAAGTTATTTTTCTGTGATCAAGTTTATCTCATCGTGGTTGCGAGCAAAAGATACAACTTTATCATATAACTATCTATGAAATACTTATATGAAATATAAGTATAATATTACATGGGCGCGCGGAGATACGGATTTTATCTTCGAGTGTTGAAAAGATCTCAACACGAGAAGATAAAATTCGTATCTCTAGGCGAACATGTAATATTCTATTAATCATATAATTGTATATGAAAGCAAATTATGTCGCAAAATAGCTTTTTCTTACTTCCACTATATAGAGAAACCTCGAATGTGTTATTTTCACTAGTGGAAATATCAAGTTTACGAAATGGAGAAATATAGGTATTTCACAGGTAATTATATGATAAATATTCTCCATTTCGTAATGTTGATATTTTCACTAGGAAAATTGCACTTCTTATTTTCACTAGTGAACACATTCGAGGTTTCTCAACATAGTGGAAGTAAGAAAAAAGTTACGAAATAATTTGCTTTCATTTGTAATTATATGATAAACAGAATATTACATGGTCGCTTGGAGATACGAATTTTATCTCCTCGTGCTGAACGTCTTTTCAACACTCGAAAATCCGTATCTCCGCGCGCCCATSTAATATTGTCTATATATTAAGCCATTCAAAATGAAAGCGACAGCAGCCAATTAGAAGATATGTGATCTAGGAGAAAATGGGAAAGGGATAGGGTTGAAGGGAACATGACGCGCAGACTTAACCTTTGCACTGGCAAATTTATTGGAATCGTCTGGAAAACCTGAGACAAAAATGCTAATAGACGTGTCAAAACCTGCATTTTTTGTCTATATGTAAATTGTCAAATCGAAGCATCAGATTAATATGAGGCAACAACAAAGGCGATTTTAATGAGATGTAATTGTCTGTGCTTGTTCTGCGTGCGAGCTACACTGCACATGTGTAATAACATTGTCGTTTAATTTTGTCTAATTTTTCAAAATTATTCAGTAGTAAGACTCTATACGAGGTAGTGTTCTCCTATCAATTTCTATGAACGCAAAAGAAATTAGTCCGGTATTTATATAATCAAGTCCTAATAAGTTGAATGGGATTGTGAAATAGCAAAATCAGTTATGGATCCTCAAGAATTCAGGGGCTGCACTATTATGAAGAATGTAATACAATGGATTCATCACCCATAACGTAAAGGGATTCGAACAATCGCTCAATTTAACCCATCTCTGCTATCAGTAAACGTCTAGGTTACATTTGTAAACGTCTAGGTTGCAGTTTATACAGTCCTAGATTAAAGAATAAGTTAATGAGAGATTCCAGCAGTTTCAAATGCTTAATGGCAAAGGTTTTACTGGTATTTAAAGTGTTGGCACTAGAAATTGTATATAACAAGAATTAAGTTACTATTAAACATTCAAGCGTATGAATTCCTAAGTCGCTTGGGTTGACCCATYACGACATCACTATACCTAACAGAGGAGTTTTAAAAATAAATACAATTTTTTCAAATCAAATCATATCACTTGCAAAGCTATAAGTCCTGTACATTTGATTCAAAGTAATTAAAAGACTGTAATCGATTTACCTGCCTTGTAATGACACGCGTGTAATTTGCGAAAAAGTGAAACAGTTGTTACATACCTTCGTGTAACTTCCTCCCGTGATACTCGTGACTGTGCAATGTAAAGTTAAAAAAAACGTTACTTTATCGTTTGATGTGCTAGATATTTCAATCTCCGAACTGAATGTAACTAAAATCGAAAGTTTTCTAGACAAGCCATTTGATGATGGAGATCAGTGTTAGCGTATTTAAGCAACAATCGATGAGCAGCAGAAAATACCTAAAGTGTCAACTCTGGTGTCAACTTAAACTTCCTGAGTAGGTAATAAGTCATCATTTGTTCCTGAGAGGGGATGGGGTGGAGTGTACAGGAAATTATTATGAAATATCTGAAATAGACGAATCTCCCATAAGCGAAAATACCTTTTTTTCTTTTATATATATATATATATATTTACTAATTATTAATCTCAAGTTGCGTTTCCTAGTTTCCTGAGTTTAAAATACTTTTATGAAAGCGTTCTGTCATGCCGTGATTGATAATCAAGTCCAAATCAAGGCATAACAAAACTAGCGTGACAAAGTACCATTATTCGTCGTTGAGATGAATATTTATAAAAAGCTCTGCATTAAGGCTGAAATGAATATTCAACTCAATAATGAAAAAATAATTCGTTAATTTTGTTTGTTATGAGGTATTCTAAAGATATCACATTTCGGGGATTCCCCAAAGTACTTGAAATAACTATAATTTCATCTTCGAAAACGTAAACAACAGACGTTCTGCTAAGATACCAATACTTAGGAAATTGCCCCGCAACGATAAATTTTCGTTCTAAACGTGGTACAAATGCAATAAGACACAAATTTCAATCAAGGCAAAGTCAGAATTTCGGCATAAAAGTGAGAATTTGTCAACTGTCTCTACGATTTCGTTCTTTAACATTTATGACGCAGTTAAAATTCGTCTGCAGCTGGCTGACACCAAGCAGACATTTAATATTCGCGGAAAAAGTATAAGTGATTAAAATCAGTCAAGCTAATGGTAAAAGAAAAACATGAAACCTCACGACAAAGACGATGTATTAAACCGAAATGAAGAAGCTGAGACTGGATTGGAACAACGAAGTAATACTACTACGAAGCACCAAGATGCAGACGAGGGGAAAGACTATGTCTTGTCAGCATCACAGGAAAATATAACTAAAGAGGGGGAACTGAGAATATGCGAGAAGAGCCAGACCGCTGGGGGAAATCCTGTATTTGTTTTAAAGATTTTCTCTCGAATAGCACAAATTGGTAAGAATAACAATATCGATATGTACSATAAACAGGGAAAGGAAGATTCGCAGAGCGAAGACATCGATGATAACAACAAATTTATGTCACATAGATCAGAAATACGCAGACCTGGAGATACTTTCGAGAAGAGATCACAAGARATAGAATCTTCAGAAGAAAGTACGTGTTCTGATACCCCAAGAACTCGCAAAGAAAGGCATAAAAAACCGCGGTCACGCAAATCACAATTGCTAATGAATATGGAAGTGTGTAAATCCATTGGACCTGCTGACCCGTCACCCTCTTGTAAATTATTTTTTGAAATATCTGACGAAGYCATGAAGGAATTGCAAGTGYTTCGTGACAATGGTGATTGGGTTTCCTTTGAAAAGGCAACTATACGGATGAGAGAGAAAAAGGGATGTATTGACAACGACGAAACGAGCTTAGTTATTAATCTTGAGCAAAGTATGGCCGTTTGTTACCAAAACGACCTGGAAGAGTCYGAAAGGATAATACTGGACGTGATAAAAAAATCTGAAAACATCGAGAATTCTTTGCATTTTAAAAGTAAGTATTCAGCTTCATTTTCACTAATTCTCAATCTCTTATAATACTGAAAGGGAGAGTGCGTGACCAAAACTAAAATCCGCCACTCAGGGTCTCCTGGGACGAGTGGGACGTCGTTTCCAAGAGAGTCACTGTCTGACRTTCGAGTTGTAAACTGACTGTTAGAACAAATATTGTGATTTGATAAAATAACAAAGAGAGACAGGCAAAATAAAAAATATAAGATGTCAACAAATAAGATGATAACAATAGGCATTGTGTGACATAATCCTACAATTCTTTGTTTTTTGTTTTTTTTGTCTCGATCAATCACAAGCTTAGGTCTGACGGTAGTAGTCGACCCTGACATTCAAATATAGGTCTAGGAACGAGGAACGCCTTTGGGCTGATTGTAATTCCATAATATTCCATAGTGATTCAATGATATGTAAAAAAGCATTTTAACTGCCTTAAAAAAAATCATAACCTCGATGTTGAATGTAACGACTCCATGAAATCAATATAACACCTATTTGACAAGTACTAATGTGTTATAATTGTATGAACTGAAAGACGACGAGAGTAYTAGCTCTGTTCTCTACTCACGATTTTGTCTGAGAAGTCCTCCCCCCYTTTTTGTCATTCCTATCCCAGTAACTGTTCTTAGATTCATTCCATGATTTACCCCCTTGACAGGGCGTGCCCATATCTATCTTTCTGGGGTGTATCGTAAAATGGGTAGCAAGACCGGGAAAGCTGACGAACACACCGAAAAGGCAGAGAAAATTGGTGCTGAAGTCTTGGGCTCAAAAACCTTGGATTCAACATTTGAGCACTACGAACGAGCCAGTGTTCTAATGGACTTTATGGCTACATGTACCTGTCCTACAATCAAAGACAARATGAAAGAGAGAGCTAAAGCAAGCTTAAAGAAATGTATTGATGTTTCATTRGTGTTGGAAGAAGACACTTCAAAACAACGCTACGTCAAGAAAAATCAATTTGCATTGATAAAGATAGCGATGTTGGTTTTAGACTGTCGCACACCTGCAGGTAACTGAATTTCTAAATAACAGATTTGCTAGACCAAAYCCAGTCACACCTTYCCCCCACAGAAATAGTTTCATTTTCGATTTTTTTCAAACAGCCCGCCAGAAAGACAGCGTAAGTCAATCAGATATTGACGAGGCAACAGATTCCCTTGCTGCTCTTAGACGAAGCTACTGGGACGACATGGCACAAGGGGAAAAACTCCAGTTCTTCTTAGCAATGKCTGACTTGCATTGGCGMCAAAAACATTTTTCGGAGGCTCATACATTTGCATCAGAGGCGTTAGCAATGGCAAAAGACCTCMGGTTTGGAACAGAGATCAAACCAGCAAAGGATCGGCTGACGGAAATTCAGTTAAAGCTCCAAGATTTMTCTGTGAACCACTCAACCACAGAAGAAAATGGWGTCTCAATGGAAAATGATTATTGTGCATCAGCAAGTGATACTGATTTGACTGATGGTCACTTTGGTGGATCGAGTTCTCTCGAGACAGACGACTCATTGTCAGGCTTSCMATAAACACTAAGTGCAAAGAATTAATTCAAAGCAAGATTTAGTTAAATATGAAATCAACATTAAATTTGAAGAAATTTCATATCAAAAATCTATTTTCGATATTAAATGTTTGGAAAAGGACATTACTAATATCCTATCAAGTGCGCTAGAGCTGAAATTATGACGAATGATTAAAATAAAAAGGTCGAGAAGTTGCTTGAATTTTTAACATTTCAAGAAAAAAAACACAAGTAGTACGATTGCCTATTTTTAATAGATTATGTTTTTTGTGCATGCTTTTTATATTATTGTAAGTTTATCAAATACATTTATCAATTTTTCTGCTATTAAATAAACGAAGAATTTTTAGATTATAGTTATTTTTTTGTTTAAAACTTTTTTGGTAGACATATATCTATTAATTTCTATAGTTATCGATAAATCAGATTTRTTAAAAAAATTATAAAAAAGATATTTTGATGATTGGAGCATGTACTTTGATGTGTTATTTTGCTGCACTGGTTTGAAAAAAATTCTGATGAGTGACAGCTATTTCGAAAAAGGTCTTTTATTTCAATATAATGAATACGCATGCTGCGACACGTTCACAGGAAGCTGAACAATGGCGACCCCGGATTGTACGAAGGTGTTGTCCCGTGCTTATCGAGAACCCAAGTTAATATTTCTTGATATTTGTTTTATTTGGATTTTAAAGGAGTTTCTATAAACTTCATTTAGGATGTTAAAATGCTTATATCCCTCCATTGACGCACAGAACACAAAAGAGTTGATTGAGGAAAACTTAGTTTCGTCTTTACTAGACCTTCTCAATTCCTCTACAACAGKTTTCCTCAACCAAATCTTGTGTTTTCTGTGGCGTCAAAGGAGGGATAACAGTTATTTGACATCCTCTAAAATCAAGTTAATATTCTTGCACTCCTTTATACATCAACATTCAAATACTATCTGATTTAAATTTGAAAGTGTTTATTGCATATATGAAGAATACATATGTGAAGAATCTGCAACACATCTGTTGCTTCTAGATACAAATCCAAAATTTCCTTGCGTAATTACTCGGATAGTTTCTTTGTTATCTAGGTTGAACACACTTATGATTTAACAAAAATGTACCAAAAACACAAATTTCTCTCTCCGACAGATTAAGATATTTAAGATATATTAAACCGGGTACTATTTGACTGTTTCATGGCACATGTGAACTTGCTTTTTAAACAAAATTGTTTTTTGACACACTAAAACCAAGACTTTCAATGAAACATCTTTACTCTATTGACCATTTATTCAATCATTGATACGTTTAAGCCACAAATTCTTTGATGATCCAATTAATTGGCTGTTTGTTGACGTTTTTATTGTTTGATTTAATTGAACTAGCGACATCGATTGTTATTATGTTTGTGGCTAAAATAAAAGTCAAAGTTTTTGGGTAATTTCATGAGCAATGAATGTAGAAAAATGAAGTCATAATGTATCGTGAACTTTAATAAGCTTTAGTTATGTTGGAAGCCCACGTGATCATGTGATCTAGTATCTCACTAGTATTCATCGATTTGTTTCAGCTTTGCTTTGATTTTGTTCTGATATTCTGGTTTTCCTTGCGAAAAATTTTTATTAGGCAAACTCAATTTTTTTCGCCTACCAACATGAAAAATATTAATCAATGTTACGTCTTGAAGTTTATATTGTTTGCTTAATAATTGAACTCCAAAGATATCGATCATTGATTTCCATTAAGGGAAGTTTTGTTTTCTTAGGGATTCAGTTGTTATTTTATATTATATATTATTGTTTTTTGACACTGATTTTATTTGTTATTCGGATCCAGATGTAGCACTTCTGGTCGACATCGTTGTAGTTCGAGTGGTATTCATCTCGCCTGCGCTCGCCGATGTTTATCCAGAACCGAAGTTAAATTATAAAACTATATTCATAAATCGTTTAATTGAAATTCTGTTCGTTAAGTAATTATAATTTGATTCATCACTATATCTTTCTGTATTCGTCTTCACAATCAATCTTGGAGTTGTGTTGCCATTGGCGGCTTGATTTTTTTTTTTTTCAAGCGCACGAAGGCATCCACCTTTATGAAGGTTGTTCAAATAACGGCTTGTAGTTGGCCAATCCGGCGTCAAGGTTAAAATCACGAAAGCACATCAAGTAATTCAACAGTCAGTGAAATTTATAAGAATTTAACGAAGCGTTTTTGATGCTTTTCATTTACAGCTTTCTTAAATYGTACTACACCTTGTCATACTAGACCAAGTCAACAATTAATTTCGTGTGTTGATTAATTTCATAATATTGCTCAGTCTTTGCTTTGGTTGTCAATTTTTCCAATGTTCTTTCTATTTTCTTATTTTCACATAATTGCTTTCTTGAGTAAACTCTCCTTCAATACCTTATTA